TTATATTTTCAATATTTGCAATTTTCCAATCTTGTTGTGATTTACGTTCTCTAAGATCTTCAATTTCTTGTTTTAACTGATCAATTTTATGTTTTATGTCGTCTGAAATAAATTCAGAGTTTGATATAAATTATAATATACATAATATATCTCAGATTTGTTAATTTGTTCAATAACTTACCAGTAGACACATTTCCCTCKTTTAATGTTGACAAGACAGGTATATCACCAAGTTCATTATCATTGCTAAGTTCTAATTCAGACTTGCAATCCACACCTAAATCATATCTATAACCTACATTTCCATCAAATGTGGAATCCATTTCATCTTCTTTCTTTATTCCATCCTTTATTCCATCGAAAGAATTATCATTAGAAATAAACATTTCTTTAGAAAACTCTGTAATAAGCATTTGGGTTCCAGAAGTCGATGGTTTTTCTTCCTAAAATAGAAATTATTAWTATTTAATATATTATATTACTCCTTTTTAGCAATATATTTTTTTAGGTACCCCTTCTTAGTTTAAGTTGGAGATAGGTTTATTGGCGACCGGCTTTTAAAGCCTACAGAAATGAAACACTGGAAGCAACTACATAAGTAGTTATACTATTATGACTAGTAGACATGGCATTGGCTCTAAAAAGAATGCCTATGCATTTTTTTTTTTCTCTGGCCATGTGCAGCATTGCAAATTTTACAATTATAATAACGGTAATCATCATAATAATTTTTAAAGTTAGGGTTAAATGACCTATTATCAAATTTAAAGGTTATTTTAAGGTTAACATTATCTAGGGCATCTCATAGGCTTTTTATTGTACTTCGATTTTAAAGTGAGTAACAATTATGTTAAAATTGGAAATTGCATGTACATCTGAAAATACTCATAACTCCCTTATGAACTAGTAACATAGAGACTCCACTCAGTATCATTTTCTTTATTTAATGATTTATTGTTGAATTTAAATTGATTACATCTACTGCAGTGACTTACTAAATGACCAGTTTTAATGAAACCTACTATACAGTACAACTTCCCAATTAACAATGGAATGATAATTTAACTGAAAAATTTACCATTAATGAATTACTGCAAGATAAACGGCTATTGTCATTACTCATATCTTCATCTATATCCATTATATTTATAGTTTTGCTTTCTTCATCTGAATCACTTAGAGSTTCACCAAAAATATCTCTTTCGGCTGATAGAAAACATATAAATAAACATAAAGGTTGTAAAATAAAGTAAATAAATCGACTACCCTAAGAATATTATATTCAAAGAGTGAATAATATATAAATTAAATTAGATAAAACTATAAACAATACCAATGTCTTGATTTAAATTATTATACAGTTCACCTTGTATAAAAGGTTCTTCTTTAATTTTTCTATTGTTTTGAACCTCTGTTTCGGACACTACTTCCCATTTTACACGAAGAGCTTCACTATCACTTTTTAAAAGATATTTAACCTAAGACAATATAATAATACTCTTAATCATACTAATATTATAAGGAGGAATGATTTGACTGTTTGCATTAAATAGACTCTGAAACTACTGGAGTGATTAGAAAAATTCTTTCACAGTTGAGAAGCTACACTATCTCTGGATGACAAAGACTACATTATATTTTCAAAAAAAATTAGGGTTTCCTACTAAAACTTTAATAATACAATCCAAWGGGTATTATATTTATTTATTTATATTTATTATTATTATACTATGTGAAGATGTAAAGTATGTGAGGTTGTAGTGGGTAATCTCTAGATCTACTGAACCGATTTTGAAAATTCTATAACCAATAGAAAGCCAAATTATT